GGTCTTTATCAAGGTAGCCACAGTCTTCTCATCAAGTCCCTTTCCATCCCCCTAACCCCTCCTCTCCCACGCAAAGCCTTTTACAAGGCCATAGCAACAGCAGGAATGCTCATATGATCACACTTTGACCACAGAGAAGGCAGGAATTTATTATCGGGTAGAGCTGATTTTGTGGGGTGAACAAAATATTAGTCAGCGGCAAGGAAGGGTGACAGAGGCAAGGTGGATTGCACCCCTCCCCCCCACCAGTTGGATTAACCTCTGCTGTCTCTCTTGGTCCTCAGAGGCGGGAAGGGGTTCCTCCTCCAACCACTACCGTCTCGCCACTGATGTAACTGGCATCTTCAGAGCACAGGAAAGAAACTATGCCGGCACAGTCCTCTGGTTTGCCTAGCCTGGGAAACAGGGAGAGAGCAAACGTAAATCCGGCTAGCCCCTCTCAACTGGCCCATAGTGCATGAAATTTGCTTAAGAATTATCAGGTGGAATCCGGTGGTGCTGCGGCGCAGGCTTTTAATCTCAGCACACAGGGAGGCAGAGGCAGGCAGAGGCAGGCAGAGGCAGGCGGATCTCTGAATGTGAGGCCAGCCTGGTCTACAGAACAAATTTCAGGATAGATAGCCAGAGGAACACAGAGAAATCCTGTCTTGAAAAAAATCAAACCAAACCAAACAACAAAAAACCAACCCACCCATACATATTAAAAAATGTTAAAAAGAATTAGGTGATTTTCCAGAATCAGTGTACAGCTTTTTTACCTATTAAATAGGGTGGTTATGATTATGTGGTTATAATTTATATAAGCATAAATACTGATTCCTGCAAAACCACGTTATATTTAAATATAGAAACACTGTTTTTAGATACCAGGATGCAAAGTGGAATTGATAAAATGGTGAACAATTATTTCATGTTTCAGAAGAAATTGTTTTCAACATGTATGTATACTATTCCAGTGTCAGAGAGTCTTTGTGACAGGAAATGGCATGATCAGGTTATTTCATCTGTACAGGCTCAATGTACAGTGCTTTTTAGGAATCTACTTTTATCCTTTTAAGATCAGATTCATTTGATAAGAATGTGCAAGATTGCATTGTTTGGGTTGGGATTCTGTGTGCTCGAGAGGTGACCGTGAGTGAGTAGAAGGCCTGGACGAGCATTTCTTCAACCCAGCTGCTCACTGCAGCTGCTCAGGAGGCTCGAAAAAAAGGAAAGGAAAGGAAAAAAGATGTGCAAATTCCACCATGGGCCAATTAAAGAGAAGTCCCTGGGAGTGTGCCCAACTGCGCTTGTCAAAGCATCCCTAGACGATGCCAGTGTGCCACCAGGACCCAGAATCACTGGGTTATATCACTCACTGGAGTCTCTAGAATGGCAATGCTCTGACTTGTTGAGAAGATGTTAACTAGGCCCAGCTTCAGTATGACTTTGGGAGAACTCGAGGAAGGCTGGATGGAATGTTTACAGGACACTGCCGGCATTTGTCCTTGAGGGGTCAAGCTAGAGCAGTCAGAAGGCAGGAAGAGGGGCAGTGAGAGCACAATACAGACCTAGCAAAAATGTCTGAGAAGTTCAGTCAGCCCACTGGAGAAGAGAGAAATTCCCTCAGGCTGAGTCTGGGCTCAGTGAGCTTCACAGACATTTTTCTTGGATTGTAGGATCATTACTCTGAGTCTTGGAAACACCACTGCCCTCTGGGTTCTGGTCTCCACAGGTTCGAGGTAGAGGCAGACAGCGAACGAGAACTCTGCTTTTCTTTTGGCAGTGGAAGCAGTGTCCTTGGTCAGGTCAGGAGTGGTGGGCTTCTGAGTTGGTGAAGTCTAGAGGAGCATGCTGTGTTATCTGTGGGACTGAGAGCCAGGGCTGAGCTCTGTCTCTAAACATGCTAACTCCCCCCCTCCCCCCGTGTCAGCTTACCTTCTAATTTGCAAGCGTTCTTTCATGATGTCCTCTCTTGATCCATCCTGCCATAACTGTAGGAAGAAAAGAAATCTTTTTATGTGTAAGAAGAGGAAAGCATGGGAAGAGAAGGGAGGGAACTGTCTGCCTCCACAGCATCTGGGAGGAAGGGTTCACATTTTCATCTCTTATTCACGACCTGCCCTCCCCACTGCGGGACGCTACAGTCATTCTCGTCAGGTCTTATTCAGCAATCTTGCTTAATTCTCATCCACTTTAGGAGACAGGATACAATATGGGTACAGTCTGAATTCCTCACTTGGTAGAGCCCATGTAGGAGGAGAGGAGGATGTGAAAGTCTGGTCTGGGGAAGGTAACTGGTAAAGAAAGGTGATATGCACAAGCACAGGCAACAGGGATGGGAAGGAAGGGGTAGGGGTTCAGGCACTGGGTTTCCCTATCTTTCCCAGGGTCTAGGGGTACAGTGCTCTCCCTTCTCACCGCACTGCTGAAACGAGTCTTAATGAGTCCAGGTGCCAAGCAGTTCACTCTAATGTTCTTTGAGGCCAGCTCCGCAGCGAAGTTCTTAGTAAGACCCAGCAAAGCTGTTTTACTGACATTGTAAGGGCCTAGAGCCTAGGGCAAGAAGAGAATGAGTCAGTTGAGTACTTTGCAGGTCACCTTTGGTTCTTATTGTACAACGAAGGCAGGAGCACCCCCTGTAAGGCAGGGTCACAGTCAGAAACCATCTTACAGTCTCAGGTAGGCTAGAGTTCATGCAAGCAAGGTGTCTATTTTTTGGAAGGGGACATACTCTTAAGTATTTTAGAGTGAAGCTAAAATCTTTCTTTGGGCAGTTGGAGGGGTGAATGGCAGAGGATGGAGGGCAGGGTAGAAGGGGTAGGTTCTTACAGGGAATGGAGCGAAGGCTGCTATGGACCCCACAATCACCACCGAGCCACCTCTGAAAAGGAAAGAGAGCTGACCCTTTCCGGCATAAAGACGGCCCACGTGGGACCCATCTCACCCAAGCTTCCTCCCTGTATTGGTTACCCTCGTTTCTCCATCTCCGGCACCACCGCTTTTATCAACATGGCTGTCGCTTTCACATTGATGCTCAGAACCTGAAGCCAACAGAAAGGAAGACATTGTGAGCGGGTTCTCCCAAGGCCACAGTGAGCAGGAGTTACGTGGGTTCTCTGGGAATGCCTGCTGGAGTCGAGAGATTTCAGGGATAACCGACCAAACAATGGGAAAAATTCAGGTTCAAGGTTGGGTAGGTGCCTCTCATAGCTCATCTTACTTGATGACACATGGGGTCAGGTGATCAAGCATCTCTCCTACCCAGCCAGGCCACAGTCAGCTTGACCTCTCAGGGATTGTTTGGTTTTGAGCTGGATTTTGTATTTCTTCTAAGAAGGGAACCTGGAACTGGGTCATTGCTTGGGCCTACACTGTAGTGGGCTGGGCTTCTCAGGGAATATGTAGCCTGACCTGAGACACCCGGAGGATGAGATGACCTTCAGGATGGACCGTCTGGATGGATATTTACCAGGAAGTAGAATAATGAGGGAACATCTCCCGGGGAGCCGGGTATACTCCGCAATTATAATTCCCATATCTCAAAATTAAAATTTAAACGTATGACTTTGTTACATTGTTCTGAGTAGTGGGTTGCTCACCTTCTGTGTTCCTGTGCTAACTTCTTAAAAATTTAATCGTACTAAACATTTGAGACAGAAATACAGTGACTACCCAGCATCCTTTACCTAGATTCGAGTTATTTACCTTTTGCCTGATTTAACCTCTTCACATATCTGTATAGTTTTATTTCCTTACTCTGTAGCCCAGCTATCCTGGAACTTATTCTGTAGCTCAGGCTGGCCTTGAACTCGTAGCAGTTGTCCTGCCTCAGCCTCACTAGTGCTGGGATCTCATGCCCAGTTTTACTTAATCTTGTTTGTGGGATATGTGTGTACATGTAGAGGTCAGAAGTCAATGCAGGGCATTATTCTCAATTGCTACTCCAACTTATTGTTTCTCGAGACAGGTTCTGCCACTGAAACTAGAGCTCACGGATTCAGCTGGACTGACTGGTCAGTAAGCTCGCATCATGGTCCTGTTTTCCCTGGTTCTGTGATGACAGGCACTCTGGAGGTTTGACGTCCAAGTCACTCAACATCCTCCTCTGGCCTCTGGGACGACTGCATGCGTGTGGTGCACAGACGCCCATACAGGCAAAGCACAGCCACATAAAAATTAAAAACAATGTCAGCTGGATGGTGGTGGTGCACACTTTTAATCCCAGCACTCAGGAGGCAGAGGCAGGTGGACCTCGTTGAGTTCCAGACCAGCCTGGTCTACAGAGCAAATTCCAGGACAACCAAACTATGCAAAGAAACGCCGTCTCGAAAAACAAAAACAAAACAACAAAAAATTAAAAAATTAAAAAACCTTTCAAATGAAAAGGAGAAAAAATATTGATTTACAAACTGGTTTTATTTAACTTTTACCAAAAGAGGCTTTTTTACTCTAAAAAATAACCAGAAACTGGCTCACTGAAGAACATTTTGGCACTCTGGTCTTTGTTTGGAACGCTGATAAACTATAATATTTTTGTTATCCTTAAACTGTCATGTTGAGAAATCCATGGGGGATCATAAGAATTTAGCATATCCAAATCATGTGGGAATAGTGACCTTAGGTTAAAGCTTTATTGTTGAAGGGTGTATGTAGATGGGAGAATTACATTATGAATACGATGCGACAAGACACGGTCACCTAAAAACCCACATCCTAGCACGTTTGAGACACCTAGAATTGTCTTAGCAGTGTGGGTAGAAAGAGAAAAAAATAGGTCGTATCCAAAGGCTGTATGCTATAATGCATCAACTTTTGTAATTTCACCAAAACTGACATTTCAGTCAACAGCAGTTATTAACATTCCCAACTAATGAAAAAAACATTCTTTTCTGACAGCTGAAAAGGGGGCGGGTGGGTAAGTTTAAGCATGGTATTGTTGGCCTCTTAGCTGCCATGTTTCTGCTGGAAACAAACCAGGAAGAAGGGTGTGGGTGAGCAGGCTAGGGGAGGGAGGCGGGGGCTGGAAGCAGAGGTGGCTAGCACTGAGCAAATGACAGTAGACAAAGCTTGGGAAAAGCGGGAGAGAGAGGAGAGTAGGATGTGGGAAGCCGACAGCCACACACGCCACACACGTTAAGTGATCCTTTCGCATCCACACGTGGAGAAGGCGCTCTACAGGCAGGCCCCATCTGTGCTGGCTGTTTTCTGAGGCCAGCTCCCTGCTGCTTTAACTTCTCACCTTGTCCCACACCTCCTCTGTGGTGTCCATTAGGTTTCCAAAGAAAGGATTGACAGCAGCATTGGAGACCAGGATGTCAATGCCTTGATGAAGCTTCACAGCCTAGAGAGGAGAAAGGCGTGAGTCAGGGCTACAGCTCAGGGAGGGAGATGCACTCATCATTGTTGGAGTTTCGTCTCAGGAGCAGTTGTCAAATGCCTTTCCCGAAGGTGTTCTCTCTAAAGCCACCCTAAGCTCTGCTGACATTTGAAGCTATTATTTCTGCGCTTCTTTCAATCTGCCGCTTCTTCTAAGGGCGTCTCTGACCCTTTGTTCTTTTCCTCACACTTTCCTTTAGTGAGCGCCCACATTCTTACGTCTCCACTTCTCACCTCAAATCTATTTCTAGACTGCCTCTTGAGTCCCAGCCCCATTTCCTCGAGCACCTATTGACCATTTTCCTCGAGTATGTCACCACGACCTCAGAGCCAGCCTGTCCACATGTACCTGAATGAAGAGAGGTTCTGGTGAAGGGTCATTCTAGCCCAATTTCCTCATTTTCCTAGTTATGACACCTAGGTCTGAGGAGGTTCATTTTTCAAGCTTGTAACTCAGTAATCATTCTGTAGGGACATTTAAGAGCAGAATGGTCCACTCCTTTAGAGAGGTGAAGGGATTTTTATCCCCTCAGGTACAGTGGTGGCTGAACTGAGGTCAGACTCCAACTCTAGCAGAGAGCTGATTCCTAGGAACACCCCCACCCCCCAAGCCAGTTGGGATCATTATGAAGCCAGTTGTGCAGGAGAGCTGCGATGGCGAAGCCAGCTGTTCCAGAGAGCTGCGATGGCGAAGCCAGCTGTGCAGGAGAGCTGCGATGGCGAAGCCAGCTGTGCAGGAGAGCTGCGGTGGCGAAGCCAGCTGTGCAGGAGAGCTGCGATGGTGAAGCCAGCTGTGCAGGAGAGCTGCGATGAAGACTTTCTGGCTTATAGAGTTTGACACTAAGCTTTGGTGCCACTTTTCTTTCTCTTTTTGGCCCAGTGGTACAGAGGAGGCATGGTGGAAACTGAGGCTTAAACTGAGAAAGCCAAGAAAGGAGACATCTCACCTCCTCATTAAGTTGTAAGTAGGTGGTGATGGCTTGGGAGGATATGCCAACAAGCATTGTCGGTAGTTAGAGGCCACCTTAAAACCAGGTTTTGTGTTTGCCCATACCTGGCAATTTTGAAGCCTTGGGCAAATAGCATGTAGTGGGCCCTCAATCAACTTTGTGCCTCCAATTTGGCAGAGGCGGGGTGTTATTAACCATGCACACCATCTGCTGGCTTCTCCTCTTAACTAATTATTCCCGCTAACTAGGTGCTAAGCTCAGTTGTTTCTACAGCGCTAAAGGAATACCCAGGCTGTCAACGTGTTCATTTAACAAAAATTTTAAATCACAGAGTCCTTTAAAACCACTCCCAATTGATACTTGCTCGTGCATTCTAGATTTCGGTGTTGTAGCCCAAAATCTCAGCCACCTGGCTTGGCTCTGTGCAAAAAGCCCGATGACATGTAACTGGCAAGAACAGAACAGAAGGAAAGTGATTATGTCATGCTCTGTGAAAGTCAGGGAGGGGGAGAGGGTGATGGGCTGCACCAGAGGGTTCTCTCCCTCTTCTGACTTCTGTCTTCCCTTTCAGGCCTGTCAGCACAGACAGGGAGAAGGCTGTGTGCTGATTGAGCATCATAGAACCACAAAAGTTCATGAGAAATTGGAGATGATAGTCTATTCTTGTGATCCTGGCTCTGGGGAAACTGAGGCAAAAGGATCACGGGCTTGAGGCCGGTCTGAGCTACAGAACAAGACCCTGTCTCAAACTCCAATATAAAAAGTCATCCCCCTGAATGCTGGGTGAGAAAAGACCACGTTGATGTGTCTCAGAGTTTGCTCTACAGGTATGATCAGCACAATGTGTTCTGGACCTGTCTGTTCTGACAGTTACTCATTTAAAACAAGTGGGGGATCTGCACACCTTGTCTGAGCAAACTACTGCTGAACTGTGGTGCAGGGTGGGAGGCTATGATCAATAACCACGGTTGGGGAGCAGCAGACACAGAACGAGAGCTTCTTGAACTGCTAAGGGCTACCCCATCACTCTCCACCTGACATCTGTTGTACAGACGCCCCAATAGTTTTGATTTTTTAATGTATGTATACATGCACATGTCTATGTGTGTGTACACTACGTGTGTATGTGACTCTCGCCTTTCCTAGTTCTCATTTCTTGGCACGTGGTTAGAAAAGTCTTCATTCCCACCTTCTCTTGAACAATCCCTTTGTCACTGCCTTCGTCCTGGGTGATAGCCAATGGCTTCCTTACTGATATTCTCATCATCTTCCGTGTTAATCCTCACCACCGCCAGATTATCCTTCTTTAAATAATCTTCATCTTGCTCCAAGCTTCACATAGATTCTATTTGCTGCACAGCCATTGACACTCCTTTGGGCGGCCGTGGAAGTCCCTGAGTCCCACCCAAGCAGCTCACTTCCCACAGTTCCAGCTCTTGGCTAAAGACTGACAGAGTTCCCCTCCTCCCTTCAGTCCTTGGCTGTTTGCTCATTTACCAGGGTGGCTGGAGCCCTAGCCTCATCCTGTCTGCCTATTATCACTCATTCCTTGAGGTCTAAAAGCAAGCTCGACTTCAGGGCCAGGGCTACAGGATGCAGGATTTGCTAAGTGGACCTTCTGGTGGCCAGAGGACTTTCTTTTCTTCCTCCTCCTCTTTCTCCTCCTCCTCTGTCTCCTCCTCTTTCTCCTCCTCCTCTGTTTCCTCCTCTTCCTCCTCCTCCTCCTCTGCCTCCTCCTCCTCCTCTGCCTCCTCCTCCTCTGCCTCCTCCTCTGTCTCTTCCTCTTCCTCCTCCTCTGCCTCCTCCTCTTCCTCCTCCTCCTCCTCAGACTCCTTCTCTTCCTCCTTCTTCTTCTTTTTGGTTTTTTGAGACAGGTTTCTCTGTAGCTTGGGAGCCTGTCCTGAAACTAGCTCTTGTAGACCAGGCTGTGGCCACGAACTCACAGAGATCCACCTGCCTCTGCCTCTCAAGTGCTGGGATTAAAAGACATGCACCACCACCGCCCGGCCAGAGGATATTTTCTTAATAAGGCCTTTCTTCTTTTCACGCACATTTGCAAGTTTATATGTGGGTGCACGTGTGTGGAGGCCTGAGGTTTATGTCAGGAACCTTCCTTGGTCGCTATTCCACCTTATTCTGTTGAGTCAAGGCCTGTCAATCAAACCCAGAGCTTGCTCTGGCGACCCTATCTCTGTCTGTCTGCTGAAGCTGCAATCATAGGTGAGCCCCTAGACACACCTGGCATTTATGTGGGCCTGAGAGCCTGACCCTCAGTCCTCCTGCTTGCAGAGCAAGAGATTCAGTGGCTGAACCATTTCCCAAACCCCCAACCCCATAGGATTTTGACATGAAATTGGGCACGGCTCTGGGTTTGACCCCAGCACTGCTGAGTGTGTGTGTGTGTGTGTGTGTGTGTGTGTGTGTGTGTGTGTGTGTGTATATACACACACGTGCATGCCATGTTCATTTTAAATGTTACTAATTGGCCTCTGTTTCTCAGGATCAAGACTACAATCTCAGGCTCTTCCAGCAGTCTGTGACAGGCAATACAACTTTCCTGGACTCATATTTGGCCCTTTGAGGAGCATATTAAGTATCTGTCAACAGTCCTTTAAAACTGGAATTATCATGAGACTCAGTTGTTAAGATCACTGGTTGACCTTACAGAGGACCCTGGTTTGGTACCCAGGACTTGCATGGAGGCTCACAACTGTCTGTGACTCCAGTTCCAAGGGATATGGCACTATCTTCTGACATGCATGGCATGGAACACACATAGTGTACGTGGAACATACATACATGCAAGCAAAAAATCTCATACATATGAAATAAAAATAAATAATAAAAACGGAATAATCTTATTCTATCTGTCCCACTTCAGTCAACTGTTGTTTAAGGTCCTCCTCTTCCAAAAAGGCTGCCCAAATTCTTTCTGCCAGCTGTCCGACACATTCACAGCTGTGTTCTCTCTGTGCTGGTAAGTCCTTCCTTGTACTTTGAGGACTAGTGCACACCATGAGTCTTGGGGGAAGGCATACCTTCTCTGCAGCGTGGTGCATATTTTCGTACACAGTTGGAGTCTGGTGCCAAGTGTCAAACCTGACATGCGCTTATACTAAAGCCTATTTGGGTACCTAAGGGCTGGCACTACATAAAAGGGGGGAAGTATCTAGTCTGTGGCATCAAAAGAAGGGTAGGTCTGGGTTGAACCACAGATCTTTCCCTCCTGGCTGTGAGACCCCGAGAGGGGTCTTCTGCTATGTGACTCCATCTCTGTAAATACAGGGAGAACAGTCCTTGCCTGGGCATGTTGTCTCACATTGTACTCCCAGCACTGGAGAAGTCAGTTCATGGCTAGAGTAGGCTACAAAGTGAGTTCCATACCACTCTAGCTCTGGCATGAGATCCTGCCTCAAACAAACAAACAAAACACCACCACCACCAAAAACATGCCTAAGGCTCTGCAGGAAAGAAATGGCTCATGGTGGGTGTATGAGACAAGGTGAGCTGCCTCGTACAAGCGCCCATCAGCTCTAGGAGGCAAAGAACAGGACAACATTTGTTAGGTCATCCCAGAGAATCAGGACCAGCCATTTTTTTTTTTTTACGGGGGATGTCTAAGGGATCTTGCAAGGCTAAAGCACCAGTGGCTCTTGATTCTCTTGCTGGGGGGATCTGGTGGTTCTTAGACTTGAGGATGCAGATGTAATAGAAAAGGCACACAATAAGAACGTATTGGTGAGAGGCTGGGGAGACGGCCCAGTGGTTGTGTCCTGTTCACACAAAGGTCACCTGAGTACAGTTCGCAGCATCCATACCAGGTGGTGCGTAACCACCAGCTCTAGAGGGTTCAAGACTCTCCTGTGGCTTCCCCAGGCACCTGCACTCACAAGCACCCCCTGCCATACTCACAATTAAAAATGATAAAACAAATCTTTAAAGGATTATTGGTGGACTAGTTTGGGTGTGGGACTGGGATGCTAGCAGGAGTCAGTGCTGGGCTGCATCTCATCAGTGCTGTCTTAAAGTCAGGGATGAAGGTACAAGCTGCCTCCCTTCTGCCACCTCCTGGCCCCGTGCCCATCTCCTTCCCGCTCACCGTGGTTAGCAGCCTTTCTCGATCCTCTGGCTTCCCCACATGGCATACGATGCCAGAAACACTCAGCCCCTCTCCCTGCAGTGTTGCCACTGCACGGTCCACATTCTCCTGTTTGCGGCTGCTGATGACTACATGGGCCCCATCTTCAGCCAGACGTCGGGCGATGGCGAGGCCAATCCTACAAGTGTAAAAAGAGATACATTGTTAAGGATGAGAGCACACAGGCTCTGGATTGAGATCGCTGGCTTTGGATTCTCGCTCTCCCTGTGGTTGAGCTCTACATATTTCTCTCTCTCTCTTCTCTCTCTCTCTCTCTCTCTCTCTCTCTCTCTCTCTCTTTCGTTTTTTCAAGACAGGGTTTCTCTGTATTATAGTTCTAGCTGTCCTGGAACTCACTTTGTAGATCAGGCTGGCCTTGAACTCACAGAGATAAACTTGCCTCTGCCTCTTGAATGCTGTGATTAAATGCACACGCCACCATTACCCAGCAAGCTTTACATAGTCCTATTAGATAGAGTAGTTTTAATGGTGCAGACAGAAGGATAAACTCAGATCATTTAATTATGATCTCATCTTTCACCCCAGTTCCCATGACCTGTCATGATCTACCACAAACCTCATGACTGGTTATTGTATCCAGCTGGGAGAGAGGGGAGAGAAACGCCAGGAGTATGCAGTAGTTGCTGGGGCAGGAGCTTGAGGGTCTTGCTTGAAGGAGCCCATATCCCTAAATATCTCTTTTACCAGACTACAACCTCAAAATTCTATCTGTTGTTAGATATGGGGGCCTTTATGGAAAAGCATGGCTCAAAACATAAATATCAATTTCATATTTTACAATTTCCAGATGTTAGCTTTTCATATACATCTGTATTCTACCTAGGTTTTCAAGGAACTTTTGTCTATCAAAGTCCTGTGGGATGAAAAACAGGACAGATAAGAGTGGTGGGTGAGACAGGCCGAGCTAGTGGCCAAATATACAGACCTAAGCACAGATTTGGACACAGGATCTTGTGTTTCATCTGGTAACGGGTGTGGACACTGGTGAGAGCTATCAGGTGGAGTGGGAAAAGTCGACTTTGAAACCTTGACTGGCTGTTTTGGTCTTCCAATACTCTAGGGGGAGCTGTTAATTGGGGCAGCCTACAAGGGGACCTGGGTCCACCGCGAGCTGTCTCAATGCCAAAGGCACACAAGGGGCTAGCTGGTGGCAGGGCCACGTCGAGGATTCGAAGAGATTTCAGGTCCACTCTGGGTTTCGTTTATCTCCCCGGGGCAGGCCTCTGGCCGTATTCGAGGCCTGTGGACAAAAGTCCAGGAGTTGAAGAATACTTGTTTCTGAATGGAAACTCTGGCTCCCGTACTCACCCGTCGGTGGAGGCAGTGACCAGGGCCACCTTATTCGCGAGCGTGTTTCGGCGAGTCACCCCGGAGCTGGCCATCCTCACCGACTTCCACGCTCGAGTCCAGCTACTTAGCAGCAGTCCCGCTTTCTGCATGGGTCAGGCGGGGGTTGGGTTGAACTCTGCTCAGGGAAGTGACAGTTGAAAGGCGGGAGGCCGGTCGAGCAGCGAGCGTCCTGTCTCCCTAGACTGCCTGCCCCCACTTCCAGAACTTGTTCCAGAGAGTCCGGGGCGACGGGGAGCCGCGGAGGCTGCGAGCGCTCCCTGCTGACAGCTGGCGCCCGCACCCTGTCTATCAATAACCTTTGCCCGACTTGGGACTCCTCGCGAGTTCTCAGTCCAAGTTTCCTGTAGACCAGCCTACAGCTCTTCTCTGCAGGAACTCTCAGACTTTTCTGTGCCCCAGCTGCTCTTCACACATATGCTGGCCCACCATTTTTTGATCATTTTTTTGGGGTGGTGGTGGGCGAGTTTCGGTAGAGGAAGCTTTGAATCTTTTTACTTTTTCCCTCTTCTTCTTTAAACCTTAAATAACTCTTCTTTCAAAAAAGCTTGGGTTTATATGTGAGGCTGCGGAGATAATTCATTTTGTACAGTGCTTACTGGACAAGCATGAGGGCCCGGGTTGGATCCTCAGCATCAACATAAAGAGGGTGTGTTGGTTACCAGCTGTAATCCTAGCTTTGGGGAGAGGGACAGGATGAGGGCTGAGGCTTCTGGCTAGCTGCCCTTGCCAAGCCTGTGCGCTCCAGCCTCAGAGAAAGACCCCGTTTCATGAGAAGGATAAGATGGAGCACTCCGTGTTGACCCCTGGTTTCTACACGCACACCTCCCCACCACCAAGCAGACTGTAATAAACATGGTAAAAAAAATGCCTTTTGACTGGTAAAAATAGCTCAGTCAGGAACTCCACCCAAGGCTGTACCTGATAACCAGAACCCACTGACATCCCTCACTCTAGTAACCAGACAGTCCTAGGACCCCACGACGTCCACTGGGCAGAATATAAGCAGAGACCACGAACAAGGCTCTGCTCTGCACACCTGGAGAGAGGCCACCTTGATCTGCCCTGTGACTGGAGAGTCTCTCCCAGGATCCTGACCCTCGAATTGCAGACTTCTGTTAGAGACTGGACCTGACTTCAGCTAGCTGTGCCACACGGGTGAGCAACGTTGGGACCGTAGTTAGAAACTTAGAGTGTGATAATAATAAAATATAACTTTTGTTATATCAACCATGTGTATACACACACATCAGACACACGTGCACACACATGCGCACACACAGATCACACACACGAAGGATGAGTGAATGTCTTGAGACTGCCTGTGCAGGTGAGACATGCTCCTCACAGGGTCCACACAGTCACGGAAGAGGAAGTCAGGAGACAAATGCGATGGGTTATGAGCTGGCCTAGGCCTGACACCACTTTTTTCCCTGGTGCAGAGTCTACTGTGGTAGTTCTCAACCTGTGGGTTGCAACCCCTTGGGGTCACCTAAGACCATCGGAAATACCATATTTACATTACATTCGCAACAGCAGCAAAATTATAAAGTAGCAATGAAAATAATTCTATGGTTGGGGTCACCACAGCATGAGGAACTGTATTAAAGGGTCATGGCGTTAGGAAGGTTGAGAACCACTGAGTCCTCCATCTTCAGACAGCCCGAGAAGATCACCGTGATGCCCAGTGTGAAAGAACGGAGGTCCTGCTTCCATCCGGGAGGGTCTGCCACCTTTCAGGTAGTGGCAGCAAAGATGCTACAGAGTCCCTAACCAGTGGTGGGAATACGGAGACCTGGGAGTGCTCGGATTCTCCATGACCACGAAGCCTCAGGTCTTCCCTTCCATTCCTGCTCAATGAATATTTGCTCAACGTGAAAGTGCATTATTAACCGCGAACTACTAAATACACAGAGATTTTTGTCACCATGCAACCATTCCTATGGCTGCCTCAGGCCCGACGCTTCATCTGTGAAGCAGACGATGAATACAACTTACCAGCTATAAAGTCTAAGTCCAAGACTTCAGCCTCCATTTGCTGCTAAGTGGGCTGAAGTGACCCCGGTGCCCACCTCAGAGGTGTGGCTTTAGAGAAGTATTGCTAGTTGGTAAAATATGCAGCTTACACAGTTTTAGCGAGGCTGTGCAATATAGCCCTGGGGGTTACTGTTACACAGCGTCTGTATTTACTAAAGAGTCATTTGATGGTCGGCTGTGATGACACACTACACCTTTAATCCTAGTGCTCGGGCCACCTAGATCTCTGTGGGTTCAAGGCCAGCCTGCTCTACA